TCTCTCCCACCAACTCCTGGTGGATCAAGATCCAACCCCCTTGGATCTAAAAACAAGGAAAAATTAATCAGGTTCTTAAAAAGAAGGCTTTTAATTAAAGAAAAAGGTAAAAATCATCTCTGTAAAATCAGGATGGAAAATAACTTTTCAGGGTAATCAAACTTAAAGAGCCCAGAGGAATCCTCCTCTAGCCTTAGGTTCAAAGTTACAGCAAACAGAGGTAAACACCCTAGTAAAAGGTACATTTACAGGTTGAGAAAACAAAGATAAAACTAACACGCCTTGCCTGGCTGTACTTACAAGTTTGAAATATGAGAGACTTGTTCAGAAAGATTTGGAGAGCATGGATTGATGTCTGGTCCCTCTTAGTCCCAAGAGCAAACTTTCACCAAAACAAAGAGCACAAACAAAAGCCTTCCCCCCACCAAGATTTGAAAGTATCTTGTCCCCTTATTGGTCCTTTGGGTCAGGTGTCAGCCAGGTTACCTGAGCTTCTTAACCCTTTGCAGGTAAAAGGATTTTGGAGTCTCTGGCCAGGAGGGATTTTATAGTATTGTACACAGGAGGGCTGTTACCCTTCCCTTTATAGTTATGACAACTCCTATTACATAAAACAAGCCCATACTGCTGGCTGCCACAGGGCAGATTTCTGGCTGAAATAGCTCTGTCCTACGTTCTGCCCTGCTTCTGAAACTGAGGAATGAAGAAAATCTTGTATCTGAAGATCCTCATGTCCCTCCTATTGATATGTTGCATCCCACCAGGGCAACCTGTCAATCCTGGTGGGGCCTCACATCACATGTGTAGCAGCAGATCAGACTCCTGCCCACCAGTCCTCAGGAGAGAGGAGGAGGAATCGCAGCTTTCTTTTTCCCTTTCTCTGTGGAGATGTGATAGGTAGCACCACCTCCTGAATCTTTCCTCTCAGCCTCCTGTGCCCGCTCAGCACTGGGCAGGGATTCTCCTCTGGCCTCCCTCCAGCTAAGGGGAGTTATGGTGTTGCCACCTCCTGGACTCTGTTGGCTGTTCCCCTTCTGCGCAGAGTCTGGAAGACAGGCATTGGCTGCTGCAGCTCAAAACAGCAGGCTTAATTTTTCCAGCTGAAGCAGTCAACACCCTTGAAATTCAAAAGCACCCTCGAGATCCATAGTAAGCAGGTTTAAAGGTGACCTGCAAAGCAAAAATATCTCCTGAGATCTTTCCTGATGTGTGGGGGGAAGTTCCTCTATGTGTTGTTTCTGCTTCTGGCTTTTAGTGTTCTCTGAGTCATAGGGGTCTGCACGTTCTTTTGTGCTCAGCACCAGAAGAAGTCTTGTGCATAGTGGAGACAGTGAGGTCGTTCCATGGAAATGCAAATAGCTCTGAGGTAATCAGAGCTCCTACTTGTGTATGCAGTTGCTTTCCTCAAATCCATGCTCCACTCCTTGTGTTCGGAAAGCGGAGGGCAAGTGAAGCCATGTAGAAGAGCAGCAAATGGGCCATATCCCCCTAACTGGAGATGTGTGGTATGTAAGGGGCAGTGATGTCAGCGGGAAGAGTGCAGAGGCCTCACAGCTCAGGCTTTGTCCTGAGAAGGAATCCCACAGCCCTATCTTCATCTTTAAAATGGTATGAGAGATCTTTAAGGCTAATGCTTTAGAAGTAGGTTTCCATGAGCACCTTATCTCAAGTCATTACAGGCAGGAGTCCTTTGGGGTTCACCATTAAAGGAACTGTGGCAGCTATGCAAAGAACTGGGATGTGTGAGCCCCTGAAACAGTCACCCTCTGCCATGGCCTAGGGGTCCCATAGAAGCCTAGTGAAGGAAAGAGGGGAGTTAGCCAGCCAGGGAGATGGGAGAGGAGTGTGGTATTCTTCCTTCACCCTCCATTTTCATCTGAATGCATAGATGCTGATATTGAGGGCAATCAGTATTAGTGGTGATAAGTCAGTGGATGATACCAATGGGTTCTCACTGGCTGACGTCAGGCTAGTTCTTTTAGCCAGTATAATTGTTAATAGGGGCTAAAATGTGCTGAAGATTTGATCTCCCCATTGCTGAATTAATGCTATTAGAAGTGGTTTTTTTTTTTCTTTTCTTCAATCCCCATCAAAAAATCTTTTAAAAATCCAGCCCTCAGACGAGTTAGGGGGTTTGTTTTGTGTGTTCAACTCCAAAACACAGAGACAGACTATTTGGGTCATTCCATAGCTGATGTAACTCTGGCTTTTTCACATCTGTGGGTGAGGGGTTGTAATTAGGGGTACGTTTACACAGCAGGTATGCACCTGCAGCTGGCCTGAGGCAGCTGACTTGGGGTCAGGCTACCAGGCTGTGAAATTGCTGTGTAGACATTGAGGCTCAGGCTGGAGCCTGAGGTCTGAGACCCCGTGAGTCGGGAGGGTCTGAGACCCTGGGCTCCAGCCTGAACCTGAACATCTACACAGCAATTTCACAGTCTCACAGCCCAAGTCCCATGAGCATGAGTCAGCTGACCCAGGCCAGACACAGCTATAGATGGAATGAGTGTAATTATGATGCTCTCTTTTGGTATAGACTCTTGACCCAGTAAACCCTGCAACGTGCAGAGCTGATAGAGGGTTTTGGTTTATTGTTTCCAAGGAGCCATAATACACAATCTTCATGGATTTCTTTGTTCCAGAAAGCAGCAGATACTTTTGCTAGATAGGGACAACAGAATTAACTCTTAACTTCAAATGATACTCATAGGAGTATTAGTGTTGGGTTTATGTTAATCTTCAATTTATTAATAACATTTATCTAAGATTAATGCTTGTTCTCCTTTATTCTCTAGAACATAATTATATCTAGTGCAGCTGAAAGGGTAAGTCAGTATTTTTTTTAATGTAAATAAATTTCTGCTAGAAATATAAGCATCAATATAATTATTCTTTTGAATTTTTCTTTTGGTTTCCTCTGTATCACCTTATTGTTGAATTTTCTTAATTCTGCTAGTGGAAGTGGGCACTTCCTGTTTTCCCTTGGTGAAAGCAATTGTCTTGCTCTCATGTTAGCATCTCCAGCAACTCGGGAACCCATGATTATATGAAATTTAAATTAACAGTTAATGGCTGATAGTTTCTGTAAATAATCTTCTCTTGCAAACTGTGACTCTCTAAAATACATTGAGGGGGTGTGTAGATATTCACACTTGTGTCGTCTGTTTTAGCCATTAGAACTTCGAGGTCCTTATGATGTGGCTAATCTGTATCCTTTCCCACGTAAAATCTGATCTTTAAGAATAATACAGGAAACTTGCAGTTTACTTTTAAATATTTGATATTGCAATAAAAATATTTCTATGCCTTTCTCTCCCCCACCCTCCAGACCTTTTTAAAATTTGTGACTTATGTAGGTCGGATCCTTGATGCAATACATAGTGATTGTAACAGAACTCATGGCAGCAGGAAAATTGTTTGAATTATTAATTTCAGAACAAAATTCATACTCTAGAAATATAGAAGAGATTTTAGTGTATGTCCCCAACTGCAGTGTTGAATAAAACAAAGTTTAAAAATAAAATAAAATAAAACCTTTCAGTGAAAAGGTAAGGTTCAGTCTACCTGTACTAGAATTCTTTCAACATAAGCATTGCAACTATAAAAAGACTGTTAAATAACTCTAATTAGCTTTGTCCTCAGTAGGAGTGTTTGGGTTCTTTTGTGATTGTAAACTATAATGCTTTTATAATACAGTGTCGGATCTGAGAAACAGATTTTGGTTTCACACTTTAATACTAGAAAATGCTAATACTGCAACTGACCAAAAAAAAAAAAGAGTAAAGTCTCCGCATTCTAGTTTGTCACTTTTGGAGAATATGGGCATGTGTACACCTGCTGTATTTCACAACATGAGGCCAGTTGATGATTTCCTTCCTGAATCAGGATTCTGAATGGGCAAGGGAGAGTGGCAAACTTGTTTTGTCCCATGTAGAAAGTAGATCCAAGTTTCCTTTTCTTCCCAAATTAGGAGGATTTCCCCCCCCTCCCGCAAGGCTTCAGAATACTCTGTAGGATGGAAATTCCATGTTCTGGCCAACTCCTAGTCCCCTTCACAGTGCCCTACAAAACCATGTTTCAAACCAGGTTCAATGGAACAGCATTTAAACATGGTTTCCTAACTTCAATGAAAGGCTAGTCTGGACAGGGACAAGTTTGGAGAAAAATACTCAACTGGACTGAAGGTTCTGTCCTCAAAAGGGAATGGGTTCTTCGGCTGAGGGCCTGATCCAACAGTAGAATCAATAGAATGTTGACAATGTAAGTACTTCCATTGGCTTCAATGGGCGTTGAATCAGATCCTCGATATTTTAAGTGCCATCCATACAATAGTACCACTCTTCGGGTAACTTTATGCAAGATGTCATTCTGAATTGCAGCTTTGATAGTTCCCAGTTATTTGTCAAGTGACCAGATCTACCCCCGGGGAAAGAACCACTTAATCTGTTCACTCCTTTTTATACACTAAGCTCCTTAACAAAGGTGACAGAGGTTTGTTGTTTGGCCTGTCTGAAAGTGACGCCAAGGCAGCTATTTCTACCAACTGCAGAGCAGTCCTTCTTCATGGAGGTGAGTGAACAGCCAAACTATCTTATGTTTCATGTTAACTTACATAATTTTTTTTTTAGTAATACAGCTCTGACACTTTATTTTCCAAGTGGTGCTGGGCCATCTCTTAAAGGAAGAGTCTTCTTGGAATTCTTTCTCTAGGTGATGATCCACAGGTGCCTCTTCTCCATTCCATGTACTTTTCTCTCCATCAGTGCAGTGGCCTCCACAAGAAGTAAGAGGAAATGAATGGTCTTACCAGTGGTGGTGGTTGCCTTGGAATACTTATACTACTACTTATGGGTCTCCTCTGGGAAAGCACAGATCATAGAATCAAACCACACATCAGTCTATTACATTATGTAGCAAAATAGCATTTTGATTCATAAGGGCCAAATCCTGGACTGGCTGAGATCAATGGGAACTTTGCCAATGACTTCAATAGGATCATGATTTGGCCTTAAATGACAGCAGATTCGGTTGCATTCACCCTCTTTAAGCATTTCTGTAGATGCCCCTGTCTTCCCTTTGTGACTTTTCATTTTACATCAACTTTATCATTTTACATATGCTTTGAGAGCACTATGAAGTTTGATGTGAAATCAAACTCAGTGTTCTCTGCTTGCTAAGAAATGCTACTAATAGAGATGCAATGATCTGAAGTATTAGAAAATTAGAACTTGTATCTTTGTGCTTTCAGTATAGAAATCTATACAAGGACTGTAATTTTTATATGCTCTGTGATACAGGAGGGCCAGGGAGCAGTGGGAAGTGGTAGAAGGGAAGTATATAAACCCTAGGTTAATTAAGGCGTGGTTCCCTGTAGACTAGGGAGGGTTGCTACAGGTTAATTGGAGCACTTGTAATCAATTAAGGCCCTGTTAGAAACCTAATAAAACCCCCTGCTTCAGGCAGTCAGGGGGAAGGAAGAAGGAGAAAGGACTGGAGCTTGGAGGTGTGCTGTGAGACTTGGAGGAACAGAAAAACGGAGTAAGGGAGACCCTGCCCCAGCAGGGGAGGGACATTCCCTCCCCCAGTGTTTAAGGACTGAAGGTACCCCACCCAAGGGGGAAGAGGGTAAGAACCTGCAGGGGTTGAGAGGGGCTGGGACTCAGAGTGAGGAGCAAACCCAGACCCCTCCCCCGCTTCCCTCTTTTACCACCTTCCTGGGCCACTAGTGAGGCCCTCGATGCCCCAAGAGCAGGGGTAAGGGGTGGTATTTTAGCCCCCCCACCAAGAAAAGCGCAGGACCCACCATACTATATCGACCATCTTGTCACAGCTCATATATGTCATCATTTAACAATAGGCAGAAGGCAATTTGACTCTTACCTACTGCAGTGGAAATCAACAAGTTTCCAGTTGTATTATGTGCTGCATTCACTGGTGCATAGAGATGAATAAGCCAACATGACATATATCAATTTAAACATCTTAGTTTCCCAATTAGCCACTTTACAGTGTGCCACTGATTCCTCCTCTCCTCCCCCGCCCAAAAAATTAAATAAAATAAAAACTCTGTCACCTCTTAGAAACTTCTTATTTTAATTTGATTACTCTGGCTTGAATCGCTTTCATTGTAAGAGAGGTCTGCCATGTGTACCATAAGTGGTGTGAATGACTGGTCAGTTTTGACCATAGAAATAATTTAATGCCAGAACTGAGTTGCTCTATGAGGTGGATACACACTGGGTCTGGACCTGGAACTCCAACTACAAAACAGGTGGGATCTGAAACTGTTGTAAATGACAGGTTTGACTTCATGTGAAAGTCTGAGCCTATTCACTGTGAGCCTCTATCCTTCTGCCAAATCTGCAGTGACAGTAGCATATTGAAACGGCATTGCCCTGACAAAATGTACTTGCTCACCCTTTACCACGATGTTGAAAAAAGCTGATATTTTCTTTACCTGGCCAAAAAAAGTGCTTACCCAAAATGAGGGAGCAGTTCTTTTGCAAGGTTCTCTTAAGGTTTGTTGCCTGTCTGCTTGCAATACACATATATAGGAGGTTTTTTTTCTTCCCAACACATAGAGGAGCATCTTTCCAATTAGTGTTGGTGAAAATTGCATGTATGGCTTGGGGATACTAGCATACTTGACAAGTGGTGTTAGGTGCCATTATAACTGCCCGTATCAGTTTTCATCCTTCTGTAAAGTAAAGTGCTTTTGAATAGATTGAAATGCTTTAGGTGCAGAAAGATTGAACAAGCATACTGAAGAGGGTAACACTCAAGTCTGTGTTATGCCATTGCTTTTTAATACTTCAGAATTAAGATGCCCCCTAAGTTAGATTTAAACAAAAAAAATCTACGTATTGTAAAGGCCTGATTTGAAGTTTGACAATGTATTTTCGATTTTTAAATGTCCACTTTTAAAATCCTGGGATGCAAAGTGCTGAGCTTTTTCAAATACTCTGGAGAAAAATTTTACATCTTCCAAAATGCAACATATGTATCCTTTCAGACACACTGCAGTTGGCCTTTCTGCAAGGCATTTTCACATGGAATACAAATAAGATTTCAGGAGAGGAAAATAAAGCCTAATCTTTTATCTAGTGGCTTTTTATAGCTTGGTGAGTTTAAAACACTGTGGCTGGGTTGTGACTATTATTCTACCTTGGACCTTAAGGGCTTGTAAATGAAACCACATTTCATAACCCTAACAGCTAAATAAATGCCTAGTGCAGCACTTGGGTGGTAGCCTTGTTCTAAACCAATTAAACTACCCCAGACTTATAGATTCCAAGGCCAAAACAGACCATTGTGATCATTTTAGCCTGACCTCCTTTATAATACAAAATAACTCCTAGAGGATATCTTGTAGAAAAATATCCAATCTTGATTTGAAAATTGTCAGTGATAGAGAATCCACCATGACCTTTGGTAAATTGTTCCAATGGTTATTTACTCTGTGTTAAAATTGTATGCCATATTTCCAGTCTAAATTCGGTCTAGCTTCATCTTCAAGCTATTGGATCATGTTATAACTTTCTTTGCTAGACTGAAGATCCCATTTTTTGGTCTGCATGTAGGTACTTGCAGATTGTAATCAAGTCACCTCTGAACCTTTACTTTGTGAAGCTAAATAGATCGAGCTCCTGGAGTCTATCACCATAAGGCATGTTTTCTAACCCTTTAGTCATTCTCATGGCTCTCCTCTGAATGTCTCCAATTTTTCAACATCCTTCTTAAATTATGGGCATCAGAACTAGAGAGAGTATTAAAGTAGCAGTTGCACTGGTGCCAAATGCAGAGGTAAAATAATCTCTTTACTCCTACCTGAGATACCCCTGTTTATGCATCCCACGACTGAATTAGTCTTTTTGGCAACAAGGTCGCACAGGGAGCTCATGTTCAGTTCATTACCTACCATGACCCCCAGATTTTTTCAGCATTACTGCTTCCCACAACAGAGTTCCCCATTCTGTAAGAATGGCCTACATTTTGTTCCTAGATGTATACAGTTATGTTTCAGCTGTATTAAAACACACATTATTTACTTGCACTCTGTTTAACAGGCGATCTGGATTGCTCTGTATTAGTGACCTGACCTCTTCATTCACTCCCCCAATTTGTGTGTCATCGGCAAACTTCGTCAGTGGTGATTTAATGTTTTATTCCAGGTCATTGAATAAAATGTTGAATAGTATAGAGCCAAGAATATATCCTTGTGCGAACACAGTAGGAACACATCCTCTCAACAGTGATTCCCAATTTACAGCTACATTTTGAGGCCTATCAGTTAGCTGGTTTTTAATCCATTTAATGTGTGCCATGTTAATTTGATATTTGTCTAGCTTTTTTAATCTAAAGTCAAATGTCTTACAGAAGTCTAAGTGTATTACATCAACACTATTATCTTTATCAGCCAAACTTGTAATCTTCTAAAATATCATCCTAAAAAAAGGTATCATGTTAGTCTGACAGGACCTATTTTGCATAAAACTATCATGATTTGCTTTAATTACATTCTCCTCTTTTAGTTCTTTATTAATCGAGTACTGTATCAGCCACTCCATTATCAATTATCAATGTCAGTCTGACAGACCTATAATAACCCAGGTTACCCTGTTCACCCTTTTTACATATTGGGACATCATTAGCTTTCTTCCAGTCTTCTGGAACTTCTCCAGTGTTCCATGACTATTGAAAACCAACATTAAGAGGCCAGTGAACTCCTCGGCCAGCTTTTCTAAAATTTTGGATGCAAGTTATCTGGACTGCTGATTTTAAAATGGCTAACTTTAGTAGCTGCTGATGCTAGAGGAATGGAAAGTGTGTTATCATATGATGACATTATGTCATCTATTTATTTTGCGAAATACAGAACAGAAATATTTATTTAACATTTCTGCATTATTATTGATAATTCTACCACGTCCATCTACTAATGGATCAATACCATTATCAGAATTCTTTTTGTTCCTAATATACTTAAATTCCTTATTGTCCTTAACTCTGCTAGCCATAGCTTTTCCCTTGTCACTTTGCTCCCTTATCAATTTTCTACAATTTCTAACTTCTATATATTCATTACTGTCAACTTCCCTGTTCTTCCATTTATGTAGTAGTTTTTTATTTTTTTATAGCTACCTTCACTTTCCCTCTAAACCATTTTTTAACCAATATGGCCGCCTTCCTTGACTGTGGAGTTTTGGGCATCTAATAAAATTAGCAGAATTAGCATAAGGGTTATTTATGCCCTACTGTTGTAACTAGGTGCTAATTGATTAATGTAAAGCCACACTGCCACTACTAAAAACTATTACAAGTCTGTGCAAAACTGTTTTTCTCTCTATGGTATTAAACTGAAACAAATCCATTTGATTTTTTTATTTTAACCAATTGTCCAATTTATAAGATATTTTTAAGTGGGTTTGGCAGTTTTAGCTGCTTCTGTTATATCAAGAAGTCCTAAAGGTCTTTTCAGTCTTTCGGGATAATCTTTATTTTTCCTTGTTTGTTTGTTTTTTTAACTTCATAAATATTGGGTATATCAAGTCTGATGTTCCCTGGTTTTGCTGGAGCATCTCTTGGGGGGTGGGGGGGAAATTGGGTCATGCAAGTAACTATTGTGAGATTGCACGCCTTAGCTGAAGGGAAGCAAGGTGTCAAATGTTTAACAGAAGCATCTTTTCTCTAAAATGTTCATTAGTCCATTGATTGTAGCCAAAGGAAAACAGAGTTTTAAACAGTCTGAACAAGTCCTTGTTCTCTTAGTAATTCAGCTTTGTCTCCTGACTCTTGTGAAGTTATAATATAATTAGTTCTCCTGTTGCTGTAGTCTCCAGGCAAAACAAACACCTGAATTTCTATCTTTTAATTTCTGCTTTAAAAAAGCACAAACCCTTTCCGGCCTTCTTCAGGGCACAAGCCCACTTTTCTCTCTCCCTTTTCAAGTCACCTTCAAGAGCTAGTTTCTACCCTCAGTTACTATCTTGTAGCCTCCTAACTCATGGGTTTACAAGGATCTGAAAGCCATATTTGTCCCTTCTCTATCTTATGTCAAGAATTCCTGTATTCTCTACATTTAGGATCTCAGGAATTGAGACCATAGAAAATACAATGTATAGATATTATCCTGCCTAATATTGGTGACCCGTTTTGGGTCTTATCTACGCGAATAACCATGTGCCTTGTAACTGACCAGTGCAAGTCATTGCTTATACCTATGCAGAACATCTGCACTTCGGGTTTGCACTGGAACAGTTGCACTAATAACCAACTTTAAACCATCTCCACCCTCCTGGTACACAAGACCTTCAGCTCTTTCCCTACTGATGGTGCCTGACAGTTCAGTGTGCATGTTTCCTATGTCAAGTGAGTGAAGTGTGGAAACTGTGCTCTCCACAATAGTAGTTCCAGAACAAGTCCACTGAACTCCTCTGAGACATCACAGGAGGATCCCCAAGAAATAGAGGAATGGTAGGTAGTAAACTCACTTGCATGCATCAGAATGAGCAGATGAACAGACGTGCCACTCCTGGGGATTGAATTAGTGGTCCCACTTCCTTTTCCATTCCCTATTGTCTGTGGGGTCTTGTGATGCCAAAAGTCAAGATAATTATGCCTGAAGAAGAGGAGCTGGGTGTCTGGGGGACCCAGTGAATGTGAGTGGAATGCAATTTTTAATGGTCCTTGTGTGAAACATACAGGAATCTGTTCTCCAAAATTTGAGAATTTGGAGTTTTCCTTTGGGAAGGAGGAATCCAGAGGTCTCTGTAAAGCTGGATGAAATGACCTTGTTAGCATCTCGCTAACCAGTTCTGTGGCATAACGCAGGAGACTGAAATAATTAATCTTTTGAATATGTACTATTTATTCTTGAGTTTGAGCATCTTTGTCTCTGCTGCCTTTTTAAATGTGTTTGAATGCTCATATTTTACTGCTCCATAGCTGTGTGAAATGCACAGGCTGCTACTGTAGAGAGCAGAGGGAAGCAATGCCATATGAAAAGAGGGCATTTGGGATTGGCAGAGTGATGCAGTCTGGGGTTATCTCCCATGTGAATGGGCAACAGAATGCAAATTTGAGAAGCACTGTGTTAGTAACACATAATTCAGATCCATTGCATTGTGCCAGCATTATCTGTGTGTGTGTGGGGGTGGGGGG